CCATTAGCTTTAAGAGGCTCTGTGTGCTACACTAAATATACCGATTGAGTGGATTTTGAGCTGACTCGTTAATTAATTCAAGAATATTAGAAAATTAATTTTCTATTAAAATATTAATTTTGGTTCATAAAAGGCAGCGTGTCAAATATTAAAAATAATTAATGCTAAATAACAGGTCAACTAGGGCGTCGATTACTTGTGCAAGTTGATCCTATGCGCATTGACGCAGTTTTAAATTTAATTTTCAGATTTATATATATGAAAGTCATTACAAGGATCATATGTGTCTTTATGGTTACGTTTTATCGAGCTTATGAATCGATCAAGAGTAACTTAATCTTATCTTATATTGTAATCAAAGATATATCTTAGATGATTGAGTGTATATGTATATGATAATGTCAAAACTTAATCTTTTGACTATGTATTATTAATTAATTCATTTGAACTTGTTTTAGGCATGCCTGATAAGAAGTTTATAAAGACATTCCAATATTCACTATATACTATATTGTAGACGTAAAAATCTATCTGTACGGAAGGAGAGACTGATCCTGTGAGGTTGAGGCTACTAGCGATCTGCTGTATCTGCACACGTAAAGAAACACACGTGAAGCGACGGAAAACACCGGGGTGGTATTTGCCGTAGGTACTCCGACGCTCAAGTCAGTAAGATTGAAAAAGGCTGATTTAGTGAAGGCTAGGGAGTAGAGAGGTTACCAGAAGTCTAGTCGGGGACTGTGACTATGACTATGATGTGAAGTTCTCAAGCTAGAACTTCGGGGTCTGTAGGTGTAGTGTAATTTGCCCTGTGAGAAGGATGACCTCTGTTTAAATAGTGACCGTTTGGTCTCCCACTCCTGGTGGAATTGGGAGTTCCCGTAGCAATCCGTTTCCTCTAGGGATATATCCTTTGATCTGCTTATCCTTGCGTGAAAGGGAGTCCAAGTATGACTCTGACACGGACCTTGGAGGAGTTGGGGTTGCAGTGGGCTACTTTACCAGTGTTCAAACAGGAATGTGATCTGTAGGTGACCATGGGCTCTGAATTAGTTCATAGATTCAGGAAGTGAATTGGCTTGTGTCCGGATGGTTTGGGCCGACTGTACCTCGTATCAAATGGGCCTAATCTGGTGAGTTTTAGATTGGACCGCATCAGGATTGGGCCTGGTCTTTTCCTCATTATCAGTCCCGTTTCCCTATTTGGGCGAATGACGATTTTTGGCCCTAACATATATATAACTCGAAGTACGGAAATTGACTGCAATCTTCAATAAACACATTTACATACGAGAGAAAATTCTATCATATATAACCAATAGATCTAACTATTTTTGACCGTAGATGTGGCCAAAAATGACTATATCTGTGCACGGCCGCTAGTAGTGGTGGCCAGATCCTGCCACCAGTCATGCATAATATTTTTCAAGTTCATGGGTATTTTCTCTTAAAAACTTTATATATAAGGATAAAATAGTCTTTGAATTTTTTTGTAATTTTTTTTCAAAACAAGGGTATTATTGTCCAAAATTTTAATAGTTAAGTATAAAATTGTAGCAAAATTAAGATTATCAAATAATCTTAAAATACTTTAAAAAAATGAAGGTAATTAGATTATCTTATATATTGTTAATAGTAATTACTATTGGTTTTGAAAGATTACTAAAGTATTATATTACTTAATAATCAAACGTGATAATCAAGTAATATAAAATGACATTATTTCAATATTGGGAGATTACCCCAACCAAACACACCTTGAGAGTTTTCTTTGGAGCTTATCCCATCGAACAGGGGCGGCCTGGTCACTTTCCATGCATGGTCTGAAAACAGGCAATTTAATATATGTGATTAAATTAGTATCATTGTTTTCTCTTGGTACACTGTTCATATCCTGTAGTTTCCCACTTTGAAACAAGTAGTGTGTTCGACAATGTATAATTTATGCAAATAATATAAAAAGAATTTGCTCAATAGAAACATAGAAAAACCAGTGTCTGGCATTTCGGTTTTAAGGGGTTAGAATAAAAAGAATTGCACGTGGATTAAACTTAACGGACTATGAAAATATATATATAGTAAAATCTCTCTATAGTCATAATGGTGAGACTAACTAATTTTATTACTATAAAGAGGTTATAACTTAATGGAGGTGTAGTTATAAAAATTATAGTTTTGATTTCTTATTTTATAATTTATGTTTTAGTAGTACAGTATTAGGATTTCAATTCATATTTTAGTAATATTAAGATTTCAATTCAGCGCTTCAATTGCCTACTTTTGAAACGGATAAAAGATCGTTTCTTAGAACCAAGAAAAATAAGTGTCATTGATGGAACTGTAAATGTAGTTGATGCATGGTCAATTGATGTAAAGCCACAGACAATTGTCCATGGTTTTAAGCACTGCAAAATTAGGACCACTAATGTCAATGAATTGTAAGTTACAAATGAAGTGGATGAGGAGAATAAAAGAGTCATTATAGAATTGAGTGATCAGATTTAGGCATGACAATGTTCCCCCAAATTCCGGGGATCCATCTCGTCTCGCCCCATATGGGGTGGGGAAGCCTTGGTTTTTTCGGGGATAGGGGCGGGGGTGGAGGTGTTTTAATCCCCATCCTCGGGGATGGGGCGGGGGTGGGTGATGCCTTTCCCTCGCCCCGCCCCGTCCCGCCTCGTATATAATATATAAAATTAAAAATTATATATATACACACTTATGCTTTTCACTAATACCTATATATTTCACCTAATTACACAATTATCCTACCTATATAAACCCATATTTTCCCAATTTCCCTCACCCTAAAAAATTGAACAAGAACAAACCCTAACCCATAGTTATGTATAATTAATTATGTTTAAACGATTAATTTAAGTGTTTGTTATGTGGACGAGAATTAACTATTGTGTTTGGTAATGCTCAAATTAATTTATGTTTATGTAAAATTAACGGGGTGAGGATGAACCTCTAACATTCCCCTTTGGGTCGAGAAAGGGGAATTCCTGTCATCCCCATAATAGGGATGGGGCGGGGGTGGGGAGTGATTTTGAGGGCCGAGATGGGTACGGTGAATGAGATCCCCGCCCCATTGCCATGCCTAATCAGATTTGACAACTTCACTTTACTACACTAATCGAATGGATATTAATGTCTTCTTTGATTATCCAAATGAGCAATAAATCGTGTATGCTTTAACCAAAGGAGAAATCATTGTTGCAATTGGACAAGAAGAGAAATGAAATAATCCTAAGGATAATAGTACGGAAATACAAAAAGTCTTGTGCCATGAAGCTCTAAATATGTTGAAGAAACTAAAAATATTTTGGCTTTAACAAGAAGATATCCATACTAACGAGCTATTACGTACTTGTATGGTAAAAGATGTGATAATAACTTTAAAGCATAAATCATTGTCCCAAACAATTTTAAATAAATATTTTATTTCATTTTAAACCTGTAATTTTACATAACATATTTTTTTTTGTAATATACAGATAATTATTACTATGTAGAGGCAACTTTCCTTAAGGTGAGAATTAGAAAAATTATAACTTATTACAATGTATAGTTATTTATAACTATCCCAAATTGAGACTAGAATTTTTTATGACTTTATAGAGTTTATTTTATATATATATATAACGTTTACTTGTTTGTGTTTAATGTTTATGTCCTGATACTAAGCGTTTGTTTGGTTACCAACAGAAACTGGACGGTGAGGAAGCAAGACTTACAGGTTATTTTGATGTAATTGCAGGGACTAGCACTGGCGGCCTGGTGACCACCATGTAACAACCCCAAATGAGCAGAACCGCCCTCTATTTGCTGCCAATTAGGATATCGAGGACTTCTATCTAATTCACTGCCCTAAATTTTTTCCCCAAGATAGGTAAAAATCTTGGCTAACTCTACAAAATTTATTTGTGCAGATTAGCGGACGTACTTTCCAAGGAGAAGTGGGTTCGTGTCTTCGTGATATGAGGTCAAACTCATGGAAGGGTTGCAAACTTGAAATATTAACAATTATTTAATCGATGTCAAACAATTTAGACGCCTGGGAGATGATTTCTCGGATTTTTCTTTCTTCATTCACAGGAATTGATTAAAATAATTTGAATGTTATGCAATTTATTCAGTCATTCGTTTAATTTGAAAAAAATATCGTTATACACGAAGGCATGATATGTTAATTGGTGCCTTGGCTCAGAACCGTTACTTATAATTAAAGCAAGGTTTAGGAAGATTTATTATGAAATTCAAATTTCCAAAAAAGTATTTTTGATGAATTTTAAAACCAACGTGATTTGTGTATAGTTGATTGAATTACTAAAATCTCATTATATATAAATAAAGATATCCTTAAATAATTATAATGAACCTATATAGATGGTCCATTTTATGAGATTTGAGAATTAAATAGGAAGACGCAACATGTCATTTATGGTGACAGGACTTGTGCCAACTTAATTAACCTTCCATCATCTATGATTTCCTAATTTGAACGGCAAGCCATCTATTGCACATTTGTACCAAACAAGCAAAACATACCATTCTGCTAAATGTGAACGGCATGTCGTTTATGAGATTGGGATATAAAAGCAACATCTTGCAAGTTACAAAGGCCACTTTTTTATGATGTAAATCAATCTACTAGTGAACTGCAAATATTAAGATAACATTCTTACAGTTGTATATTTGGTAGTTATAGGTTGCATTTAATTTCCAGGATTATAGGGATCACACTGATATTGTATCCTAATATCGATTCATCACATACCTAGTTTAGAACACTGCAAGTGTGAATATATATATATATATTCTTTTTCTTTATGAAGAAGACAAGTAGAATATTCATTCTTAATACTTGTTACATGGTATTAGAGCTAATAAAAGGTCATTAGGGTTTGAGTTTCAAATTGAGAACACCATTTTAGAGTGAGATTTGTTCAATACCGCCACCCTAGGAAGATTCAGAAGCCGCCGATCGGCAAAACCTTGAGTTCCGGCAATTAGAATCTTCGCGCGTGAGCCCTACACGCCACTCGAAGCTCCGATCACCAGTACCACGAGCCAGCGCGTGAGCACGCGTCCACCGTTGACGTCTCCTCCGGTTCTCTTCGTCTACTTCGCCAGCACTTGTACAACACATTTTTGTGCTGGGCTTTGGTAATATCTTACTGGTTACTATTGTTCTTCGTTTGTTTATTGGACTTTTGCTGTGCTTTGGTCTCTGGTTGATTGTGGCTATTGATTGATTTGGTGTGTCGCTGAAGTTTGGTTAATTTGCTTTGTTTTAACCGTTTGTTGGTGTGCATTGGGATTATTGTTTGTTTAAGACATGTCTGATACAAAGCCAGTGGTAGAAATGATACCGTCGAAAATTACAGAACATAAGCTCGTTGGTATAACTAATTACCATGATTGATGTAAAACTGTTAGACTGTATTTGCAGAGTATTGATAAAGATGATCATATGACGATGATACACCTAGGGATGATTCGAAAAAGACATGGCTCCGGGATGATGCTCGGTTGATTCTACAAATACAAAACTCTATTGACGGTGAGGTACTTGGCCTAATTAATTATTGTGAGTTTATTAAAGAACTGATGGATTATTTAGAGTTTCTGTATTTTGGAAAAGGGAATGTTTCTCATATTTATGAAGTGTGTAAGGCATTCTACCGTGCAGAGAAACAAGATAAGTCCCTTACAGCTGATTTTATGGAGTTTAAGAAGACTTATGAAGTGTTGAACATGTTGCTACCCTTCAGTGCTGATGTAAAGGTTCGACAAAAACAACGGGAGCAAATGGCAGTCATGAGTTTTCTTGTAGGTCTTCCTTCTGAATTTGAGACTGCTAAGTCTTAGGTTCTAACCAGTCTAGAGATCTCTTTGTTGTAGGATGTCTTGACTAGGGTACTTTGCATAGAACGTACCACACCGGTTTAGTTTAGTAGTGCTCTTGTCAGTCAAAAGAATGACTATGAATCTAGGCGATCACAATTTGGAAGTGGCAATAAATAAGGGGGGTCAAATAGCAATATGGGAGGAATTGTGTGTTACTATTGCCATAAGCCATAACACATGAAGCGTGATTGTAGAAAGCTTCAGAACAGAACTAAATGAAATCCCTCTGCCTATGTTGCATCCACCAATGATACTTCTGATCAGTCAGTACTCATCTCTATAGATGAATTTGCCAAGTTTTCATTGTACCATGAATCATTAAAAGCTTCATCTACTCCTGTCATGGCTATGACTGACTCAAGTAAGCCAAATACATGTCTCATTTCCTCATCCTCTAAATTCGTCATTGACTCTGGTGCAACAGATCACATGTCAGGTAATCCCAGTCTCTTTGCTACTTATCAATAAAAAACCCTTTCAAGTGTGACTTTAGCAGATGGGTCACCATCCTACGTTCTTGGGTCTGGCACAGTTACCCCTACCCCACAACTTCCCTTGTCAAATGTCTTACATTTACTAGATTTTTCTTTCAATTTGATTTCTGTTAGCCAACTTACTTGTGCTCTTAACTATTGTGTTTTATTCTTTCCCGATTATTGCTTGTTTCAGGATCTTACGACGAAGAAGATTATTGGTAAAGGACATGAATATGGAGGTTTATATATTCTTGACAAACCAAAATCTACACCTGTCGCTTGTTCTAGTGTTGCATCCCGGTTTCAAGCACATTGTCGTTTGGGCCATCCATCTCTTCCTTCACTAAAAAAATTGTGTTCTCAATTTAATAAAGTGTCTACATTATAATGTGATTCATGTTAGTTTACTAAACACCATCGTGTCAGTTTTAGTCCTAGAGTCAATAAAAGAGCTAATTCTCCGTTTGAATTAGTTCACTCTGATGTTTAGGGTCCCTGTCCAGTTCTGTTTTAAACTGGTTTTAGATATTTTGTTACATTTGTGGACGATTACTCTCGTATGACTTGGTTATTCTTAATGAAAAATCATTCTGATTTGTTTTCTTATTTCTATGTTTTTTGTGCTGAGATTAAAACTCAATTCAATGTTTCTGTTCATACGTTGCGCAGTGATAATGCAAAAGAATATCTGTCAGTTTCTTTTCAAAATTACATGACTCAGAATGACATTCTTCATCAAACTTCATGTGTTGATACTCCATCTCAAAACGGAATAGCAAAACGGAAAAACATACATCTTCTTGAAACTGTCAGAGCCTTATTATTCCAAATGAATGTTCTTAAACCACTTTGGGCTGGTGCAGTTTTGTTGAACCAGTCGTCAGAGTCACAAAATTAAACCTAAATACCGTAGTTAGTGGTAAGCAGGATCGAATCCACAGGGAGCAAGACTAAAAACCTAATGTATTTTGAGTAGCGGAAATGAAATTGACAATTGATTAATGAAACTAAATAGACTAAATGCAAATAATGAAAGAGTGAAATTAAAACTAATAAAGACTTTATAATAAAAATGTTGCCGTTACGGTTTTGGTTCGACACGAGACCGACTCACACAATTCTTCTCCACCCTCTACGATCCCCTAAACCTACAAGGCAAGGTAAATCAATGAAATGGACTCCCGACACTCTAGGTATAATCTATCCTGTCTCACCCGATCACTCAAGTTCGATTGATTAAAGACTATCATTGAACGCCGATAAACGCTACAAGGCAATACCACTAGTTGGTACGCGATTAACAAATACAATTTGTCAACACGTATATTCCAATCAACTAATTTCAAAATAAACGCAACAACAGTAGAAATTAAATTAAATCCGAACACAACTCCATTACAATTGATGTGAAGTAATGAAAAGCAATATTCATCACTTAATTATTTCAAACCAATGTTTATCATTCAGCAAGTTCTATGAAAACATTAAATCATAATGGATAACAATATTAATCACAAGTTATGCTTAAATCATATTAAAGTATCGAAATCAAACATGAAACGAAAACAAATATAATCCGAAGCACAATACTACCAAATGTCCTATAATCGGGCTCATCCAATTAGTCGAGAGCTGATGAGGAGAGTCGTGGAGTTAATTTCGATCTCGCCTATGCCGTAATAGACAACCGGGAACTTAGCCGCTCATGGTGGTGATGACGGAGGCTAAAACGGTGGAAACGAAGCTGACCATGGCAGGGAGGAGGTAACCGACAGCGATATGATGGGAAGAAGGGGTGAAAACAACCAACAGATAGCCTAGAATACGAACAGCCGCACTCGTTGGAAAACGTTAATTTTTTGACGGTTCTTCTGGAAAATGGTAGCGGAAATAGGATCCGAAGGTACCGATAGAAAGCTTTGGTGATGGGGAGTTCAGATCAGGTCCTGGGGAGGTGAAAAGTCGTCGAAAATGAGCAAGATCTGGGCTGGAAGATGAAGAGTCGCGGTGGCTAAATGGCTGTTTCCCACGGTTTTTGCGACTACTGAAGCTTGGGATGTGTAGATCCGGCTATGGGGAAGGGAGATCAACCTTCAGGGAGCCCAAACGTCACCGAAAAATGGCAAAATCTGGCCAAGAATGCGAAGCATCGCGGTGGTTGGTAGACGAAACGTCGCATTAACTCTTGACTTCCCACGGTGGCGTTGACGGTTGATGAAGATGATAGATGGTTGGGGAAGATGAATTGTCGCCGGAGGCTGTCGGAAAGGAAGACGAAGGGTCACCGGAAAATGATGAACAATGCCCCCCTGGATCTGCAACTTTTCGTTTTCTTTTAGAGAATAAATTGTAAAATATCACTTTGGTCCCTGCATAATTGAAAAGTGATAAAATCAGCTCTTATAAATATGATAGTTTACCCCCTAAACAGCATAAATGAGATGAAATCACCCCTAATCCATAAACCACAACCTAATATCAACTCATATCCTTTCCAAAATCATTCCAAACACGTTAAATTCATAAGAAAAATATTAGGAAGTGATTTTCATGAATAAATTCATAAATTCTTTAATTGTCTCAATATACTTCAATTTAATCACACTTGAGGTATTTTTATCACCAAAATAGAGTCACTTTCATGACTCTAACACACTCCCCAACTTACTCTTTGCTCGTCGTCGAGTAAAGTTAAAAGAACTCTTTCAACATTCTCACAAAACCATACACAACCATATTCATCAACAACCAAGACATTCATCAAAAAGGTTTAAAGTGAAGAATTTGAACCTAACATGCAAACAACACAATCCTAAATAAAGAACTAAAGTTTCTGTCAAGATTTGCCTATCTCAGTCAAGCTTCTCAAACACACATTTCATATCATACACAATGTTAAAATGTCGTGCTAAACTCCCAACTTATGTACATGCAACCAATGCTCATTTTCCACACAAGATTTTGACATATATTTCTTTCATTCATCATTTTTTTTTTTTTTTTTTTTTGGTCATAACTTCTTAAGCTTTCTAGAAGGTTCGTGTAACGGACTTTAGGTCAATGACTCCCAAACCAGATGGTTAGGCACTAAGTGTAGAACACTCCTCGAACTTACCACCCAAACCAACTATGCTACAAGTCAAGACTTTATTTCTTTTTTATAGGCTTATGATCTATGTAATGACTTTTAAGCTTCTAGAGGACCCATGTAACGAGTTTAGGCTAACCGCTCCCAAGCAGATAGCTTAAGGGATTAGGTGTAGAACACCCCTTGGGCATACTCATTCGAGTCAACTAGGCTACAAATCAAAACCAAATCATCAAGCAACATTTAGGCACTTTTAACACACGCAAGTAATAAATGAAACTTGCTCCATGGGCATGTAAAGTATGTGGGAGACTTGCATAAACACTAAAATGCATGACATTTACACAAAACGGTGTCTAAACAATTGTGGATAAATCTAGCACAAAACGAAACCAATAGTTCAATGTTAAAACCATGTTGCAACAAACAATTTTCAAAAACCTCACAAAACCTTTCAACTAGCATCTCAATGCTTCTAAAATGGTGATTATGATGAATTCATGAATTTTTTTTTAAAATAACTCACTTTAGCTCACTTTAACCACTTTGGACTTAATAGAGTAAGATTCAACTATTTCCAACAAAAACAACATCATCATGCACAAAAATTTAAGCACAATCCATTCAACAACACAATCTCCACAAAAGCATCATCAAAACACTTCACAAAAAAAA